CAGTCAACTCGTAAGGTGTACACAATGCTGTGTGGAGCTTTCATAGCAACACTGTTCATACCTAATGACTATTCAATGACAATAGCAGGTACAGAAATCACTTAATAGTTGTTGAACTCACTTTTAGTTGCATGTTTTAATTTAATAAATTTAGCAAGGGGTCTTTACCAGGGTCTCCCACAAAGCATGCTAAGTGAGCTAAACAGCATGTGCTTCATGAGCTGACAAGCATTCAAAAGCATTTGGAGCAACTTTAGAAACTCATAAAGAATCCAAATTTGATTAGAATCAGCTCAAATTTTTTTACACAACATAAGAACATCTATATGTATTAGAAAAAAATTATTAAAATGGAGAATTCTCTCCTTGTCATTTTTGTCGAAATACCCTGTACTACAAGACTGCAAAAGCCATGGCAACCAGTTTCAATCTTACTTAGCAACACTACCATGTTACTAATAATAGTACAGCCACTGAAAAGAAGCTGCATGAGCACTATGCCAAAATCCTGTGGGAAACCCTGGTTATTACAATGCTAAATTAAAGCCGAATAACTTCAGTAATAGCTAAAAGAAAAAAATGCTGAATTTCCTATAAAGTTAATGCACACAATTAATTGCAGACTTGAGATATTACTGTTTTACTTTCATTTCTCTTCTCAGGTTTAGGTATTGGTTTCAAGCTGTTCATAATTGATAATATTTATAGAAAGTATCCAAATGTGAAAAAGAAATATGATGGCTTGGCACGAATGTGGAGGTCATTACCAACTCACAAAGATGTCATAACCCTCCAGTCAATGACTGAAGATGAAATAGTAAGAGAGAGAGAAAGAAAAAATGAACCCACATTTATTATCTTTCTCTGTCTCTTTTAGCGTGAACATTGTCAAAGTGGCAGTGAATTGTCTTCTCTAACAAGCTCCTCTTCTATTCTCTCAATTAAGGACACCTCATTTTGTGAAAGATTCCAATTATCATTTGAAGAGACACCACTTGAAAGTGAGAAAGAGAAGAAATACGAATTTGAGCTTATTTATATAAGCTTCATTTTATCACAGGTTGGAGGTCAGGTAAAAGATGCACACTGTTAGACAAGGACCATCCACTCACTGGTTCCAAGCAAGGACGCATATTCCTTACACACAGGTAATGCCATCACATGATAGTAATGTGACTTTTTGCAGCTTTCTATGTTTTGAGAGGTCACCGAGACCTAATGACAGTGCTGATAGGTTTACCATTTCTTTGGGTGATATTAGCAAGATATGCAAAGTGAGTTATGACAGTATACTTCACAGTTTACACAAGTACATGAGTGTTAACCACATTGTGTCCAACCCATGAGAGCTTTTACAAATAACTGTCTATAAAACTGAGACTTGGGACAATTTAAGCATTAAATGACATTCTTTGCCACTCCTTTCATATATACTATCCAATTTTTGAATGGGGTTGATATACCCCTATTGCATGTATCACACTATTAAAAACAATAAATTAGCATTATCATTTATGAGACCATAGATTATAATATGATGATTAGACTCTTCAATTTTAGGCTAAACCTTTTGCAGTTCTACCAGGCAGTGGCATGTCAATTGAAGTAACAGTCAAAGGCAGAGAAAAAGTAACCACTTACTGTCTCTTGGACTTTTAACGTTACAGCAAGCTTGTTTTCCTCTTTGTCTTCCAGCCATATTTATTCGGTGCTATACTCCATCGCGATCAAGCCTACCTCTCCATATGCGATCAAGCTATGATCATCGGTCTCCCTTGGGGCAGCGACCTTGACTCGAGTGAGAGACAAACCTTTTCAACTCTTTCTGCAAGAGACCCCTCACCTTCACGGGAGAGAAGTGGAGGAAACACGTCACTAGAAGAAAGTACTGGAGATGATGATGCAATGACTATTGGTGCCCACATGTGATATGCTGCACTAAAGTATTACAAATTGTGTGTCGTCATATAACTATTAGATGCTCATTATAAATAATTATATAGTTGAGTGTTTTATTTTTAGCATTATTATATTCTTCTTCTAATAAAAAACATTTACAACAATGACAATGTTACAAATGAAAAGTGATTACATCTTTTTTTTCTTTTCTTCAAGACTCATTTTCTGAGGGTTTTTTGACCGAGAACACAAGACCCGGTCTCCGCAGGCCGTAAAATTTAAGCGGGACGAGATCTTTCTTGACAGCATCAAAACTCCATCCCTTGTGATCCCTACACCTACTGCAATACAATATAGTCCATTGATAACTAAAGGAAAGAGATAAAAGATAATATGTATTTTTTATAATTGTGTACTATTTCACTTACCCTGGAAACCATGAGTTCTCTGTAGTGGGTCGACCAGATTTCTTAAGATTATAAGACTCGGTGACTGTCAGTGTCTCATGTACAAAGCCTCCTTCATTAACGTATGATGCTAAAGGCCCATCAACAGACATACTGAATATGTACTGCTTCTGTGTTATGAGTATACTGCATTCACTGCAGCATAACTCTGTATTCTCCTGGAAGGGAATAAAGGTAGATGTGAAAGACACACTAGATACTTTTTCTAAATACTTTTAGTAATCTCAGTCCAAGCATTAATCGTTTAGTTGGACAATTTATCGAAAGGAATTCTAATTTTGTTTTCTCGTCTACTGGCAGCCGTCTTGACAACCAATAGGACAGGCCTACAAAAATCAAGAATAGCCCGTTTTTAATAATGTAATTGTAAGGTACTTGTTATATCGTTCGGTAAAGGGTCAACCCCTTTGTCATTGAGACTTAATCATTAAGCAATAATCATTGGGGTCGTGATCGTAGTAAGTGTATGTTCAGTATTAGGATCAGCTCCAAGATCTAACAAGCATCTAATTAATGACACACTCTTGAAGTGAGTCATTGCTCCCACCAATCCTAATTCAAGTGTAAAAGGATAGTTTAACTGCAAAACAGGTGAAACTGGTAAAATAATGGTACCAAACTGGATTTTTTGAATGCCAAGCAAGACTAATTCCCTGAATCTTCTACTAGATAAAGTTAATAGAGAAAGTATTACTGATTCAGGAGCAAAAAGGCAAAATAAAACTGATCCTTCTTTAATTCTTAATCTTGTCAATATTGAACTCTCTTTTCCAAAGAGGTACTCCAGTAGCTTCCAAAAACTATTTAAAGTTATTCTTACCAATTCACTTTCTAACCTTAGCACTATGAGACACTGGTTAGGTGATGGGTCAATTGCTTCTGTGCTAGCAGCCTTTTCTACTCCTTCTTTGAATTGTTGTATTGTAGTTGACTTGAGCCATTTGGTTAATGCTTTATTATACTTCTTCATATCCTCCTCCATTACATTTTCTACAAACTCAGACACTATCACCTTCAATAGCTTATAGCTCATGAAGCAGTAGTATGGCTGTAAGCAGTTGAATAGTTGTCTAATACTTAAAGGCTGAGGTTCGAATCGGTCTCGAAGATAATTGCTAGCAAAAGTACATCATCAAAATTTGCTTCATTTTTTAATGCCTTTTCAATACTGAAGACTAACCTAGCAAACATTATTAAAATACCATTAAATTTGTGAGCAAAATCTTCTGTCAGTGAAATTATGTGAGGTGAATCGACCACTCGAGGCTGTAAATGTATCTTTGACAACTTTTCAGCCAAATCCTTCTCTTTTGGTACCTTTTCCAATGCTTCAATGATTTTCTTCCAAGACAGATCCTGGACGTGAGTTACCAAGTGATCAAGAAGGTGCAGCACCATGCTATGTACACTGGCACTATTCTCTACTTTAATTCTATCAATGTCTCTAATTGGAACTCCCAGTAAACCACCAAATGTTTCCCACTCAACCAAATCGCTTAGACCAGCCAGAAGATCCGGTAGTGTGATAGACTCTGACTTTTCCTCTTCTTTTCTTAATGTAGAGAGTGACATTGTGTCGATGGAGCTAGGATGAATGCTTGCTCATAAAACGGGTGTGGCTCATTAAAAAGGTGTGGCTAGATATAAATTTTGATTTTTGTTTTGACATAGACACCATAATCAGAAGGGCGCTGATAGCTCGTAGAAAAGAAAAAGAGAGAGACAGTCTAAGATATGCTAGGGAAGGAGGAGATGAAGACCAATTGATGGATGTAGAAGCCATTGACATTGAAGAAACAGAGAAGTAAAAAATACACTCAAAATCGGGACTTGGTAAAGGCGGGGTGGGGATCGGGATGGGGAGTGGGATTTCATAGGTAAAAGCGGGGTGGGGATCCGGATATTGGGAGTAGGCCTGAGGGGATTATTCCCAAAAAATTTCCTATTATTCTATTCCCAAATTCTTAATTTTTTTGTAATTATTCTTCTGTATTTATGGCTATTATTCTCAAATTATTCATGTAACATAAGATAAGCCTGTGTATAGTCCAAGAGAGAGGCTTGGAGAGAGGTGTCTTGTTAATTACCAATGTGAGTTAAGTAACAAAAATACTCCTTCTATGCTAAGCTTCCACTAGATGGCTGTAAAAGCATGATTTTTTGGCTACATGAGACCAAGCTGGCAGTCCTTCTGAATTGCAATTCCACCATTCAACACATGGAGTATATCAAAACACATGGAGTAGCCATTTTTATTCCCGTTCACTACCGTTTATTCTTAATTTATGCTAGTATTCTCAAGGAACCTATTATTCCTAAAATTATTCCAGCATAATCCCCGCACCCCTAATTGGGAGCCACTTTTCATCGGTAAAAGCATAGTAAAAGAAGGATCGGTGGGGATCGAGACCCAGGATCAAAATAATGAAGACAGGGACAAGTCTGCAACTGCAATGCAAGGCTCTATAGATCTATATGAGTTCATTTTGCAAGCCTGGACAGTATTATTCTAAGCAGAAGATCTGCATGCATGAGTAGGCAGGCTCAGTTTGATTTATTTTTATGAAGTAGAAATTTTAATTCATAATATTTTTAATTCTTCACTGTAAAATATATTAGCATCTTTACGATGATGTGACATGCCACTTTAAAATGCTAAAACCATAACCATTGCCTAAAAATGTCATGGGCCCGGAATAAAAATAGATGAGCAATTTTTTTATCTGACACAATACTGATTATACCTCTGGCCATAATAAGTTGACTGCAAATGCCTTTCTTATGGTGACATATTATTAGCTCACAGTGCAAAGAACTTATTTCTTCAAGGTACAGAAATATTGTGACTATAGTATATTAATCATAACAATTAACAATAAATTTATTAAAAAAACTTACAACTGCATACAGTTGTAAGTTGTTGTAAAGGTTGGTGTTGCAAGGTAAATGCAACGGCAAGACTTGGTACTTTTATTGATGTCATTAGTATTCAAGAGCCATTATTTACAGCAAATCATCATACATTTCAATGTAAGTTACGTAATATAGTTTAATCAAAGTCACTTGTTTTGCAGAACGATTCAAACTATCTCCAAACATGGTTTATTGTTATGATTAATACTATAAGTCACAATATTTCTGTACCTTGACAAAATAAACCATGTTTGGAGATAGTTTGATAGTATGTCACCATGGGAAGGCATTAGCAGTCAATTTATAATCAGTATTGCCGGTGTCAGATAGAAAATTTCAGTACTGACTATTTTTATTCCGGGCCCATGACATTTTTAGGCAATGGTAATGGTTTTAGCATTTTAAAGTGGCATGTCACATAAAGATGCTAATATATTTTACAGTGAAGAATTTAAAATACCGTATAACGCTTTAATTTGGCAGAGTTTATTTTGGCGATTGGCGGTTTGCAAGCAGAACCACCAATATTAAAACCGCCAATCATTAATGCACATGCTCAGTAATGCACGTGTACACAAAAATTGCCAAATTAAAAACCGCCAATTACAATTTTACAGCAAATCGCCAAAATAAAGCACCGCCAAAATAAAGCATTATACGGTATTATGAATTAAAATTTCTACTTCATAAAAATAAATCAAACTGAGCCTGCCTACTCATGCATGCAGGTCTTCTGCTTAGAATAATACTGTCCAGGCTTGCAAAATGAACTCATATAGATCTATAGAGCCTTGCATTGCCAGTTGCAGACTTGTCCCTGTCTTCATTATTTTGATCCTGGGTCTCGATCCCCACTGATCCTTCTTTTACTCATGCTTTTACCGATGAAAAGTGGCTCCCAATATCCAGATCCCCACCCCGCTTTTACCTATAAAATCCCGCTCCCCATCCCGATCCCCACCCCGCTTTTACCAAGTCCCCTCAAAATCATTTTAAAATGTCTTCCCTTCAGATTATCTGCCTGTGATGAAAAGACTGAGGATACTCTTTCTACATTAGAGAAAGTATGGGATGAAGCAGATAAAGTGGTATATGAGCAACAAATGGAGCACCTTCACAATCAACTGGAAGCGGCACTCATTGATAACCAAGAACTTAAAAGTAGAACAAGACCATCCACTCAAAATCCTTTAATGTTCTTTCTCTTGCTCTCTTCCCATCAGTGAAACTTAAATCAATCGAGAGTAGAGAGGCAAAGAGTCAGGAAGCAAAAACTAAAAAGTTTAGGAAATTTTGGAACTTTGCATGTTTTTATATTTTACTTTGATAGATATGGTTCTTATAGAGGAAGGGACTTGTCAACGTCAACTACCAGAGAAAGTTTTGAGAGTGTTTCATCTCAACCAACCACACCCCCTGACATTAGTAATTTGATATTATTTATTCATTTATGTATTTATTATATTTTTAGCTTCTTCCAGACCGTCAAGGTATGTAAGATGGTGGGATAGAATCAAAGACAATGTTAGTAGTATATTGTTTTTTATTTATATCTATTTATTTATTTTATAGTTATTTGAGATATTGTATGACTTTACTGACGACTCACAAACTGAGGAAGAAGAAGCAAAAGAGGCTCCATTGCAATATAAACTGTTAGTAAATGATAAACAAAAACTGTCAGCAATTCACTTTCTGTTTCAGATTAAGAGAAAACCTGCAGAGATTAAGTAAGATTAGTTATTATTACCTAACGTTATTATTATAACTTTGACTGCTTATTAAAACTTTGAATGATATAAGTATTTCTATGTAGGAGTCTCCAGTAAACCTTATCTAGATCTTCTTGACACATTGATTGCCATAAAGAATTGGAAGAACCCATTACTAACCCTGGTGATATTTTTAGTAAGAGAATTAGTGAGCTATATCACTAATGTCACCTATCACGATCCTCTTTCTCTCTCTTTTAAACAGCTGTACATGTATTGTGTATGGAATGGCTGGTTAATCCAATGTCTCCTACTACTCGCTATCATTTATTTATCTCTAAACTATCTTCGTACAACGTAAGCTTAAGATTCATTCCCATGTTTTCATAATTCCATTCCAGTGGCCTCACGGGACAGTTTGGTTTTGGGTCTCATCCAGCAAGAGGAAGTGAGGTGAGAGAGAGAGAAGGAGGGGAAAGAATTATAAAATTTATTATTTTTTTTAGGATGATAGTCATCATGGTACTTCTGAAACACTTCGTGATAAGTTTCAGCTAATGAAACACATTGGACAGAGAATTCAAGTTAGTCTATAAAAATTTTTTCTTAAAACCTCTTCTTTTACTTTTAATAGAATACATCAGAAACTGTTTCTGATAATCTTGAGAAAGGACAAAAGTGAGATAATAATTATTATTAATTTTAATTTATTTATTATTATGTATTTTAGTTTGTTGGAGTGGTATCAGCCTCAGTCAACTCGTAAGGTGTACACAATGCTGTGTGGAGCTTTCATAGCAACACTGTTCATACCTAATGACTATTCGATGACAATAGCAGGTACAGGAATCACTTAATAGTTGTTGAACTCATTTTTAGTTCCATGTGCTAGCTAATTTTTTATAAATTTAGTGACCAGAAAGCATGCTAAGTGAGCTACATGTATATAAAGAGCTGACTAGCACTAAATAGCATTTGGAGGAACTTTAAAAATTCATTAAAAAATCCAATTTTAATCTAAATCAGCTCAAACTTTTTACACAACATAAGAATATGTATATGTATCAAAAAATTATGAGAATGGAGAATTTTTTTTTCTTGTGATTTTTATACCCTGTACTGTACACTGACAAGAAGCTGCATGAGCACTATGCCAAAATCTTGTGGGAAACCCTAGTTATTATGATGCTTTTAATTATTAAAGTGGTAATAATTGGTATAATAGCTAAAAGAAAAAATGCTAAATTTCCCAAGCCTTTTGTTTCAAAAGTTAATGCACGCAATTAACTGCAGACTTCATATATTTTTACTTTCATTTCTCTTCTCAGGTTTAGGTATTGGTTTCAATTTGTTCATAAGGGATAATATTTATAGAAAGTATCCAAATGTGAAAAATAAATATGATGGCTTCGCACGAATGTGGAGGTCATTACCAACTCACAAAGATATCATAACCCTCCAGTCAATGACTGAAGATGAAATAGTGAGAGAAATAAAAAATGAATCCACATTTATTATCATTCTTTGTCTCTTTTAGCGTGAGCACTGTGAAAGTGGCAGTGAATTGTCTTCTCTAACAAGCTCCTCTTCTACTATCTCAATTAGGGACACCTCATTTTGTGAAAGATTTCAATTATCATTTGAAGAGACACCACTTGAAAGTGAGAAAGAGAAAAAATACAAATTTGAGCTTATTCCTATAAGCTTAAAAATTATTTTTATTTTATCACAGGTTGGAGGTCAGGTAAAAGGTGCACACTGTTGGAAAAGGATCGGCCACTCACTGGTTCCAAGCAAGGACGCATATTCCTTACACACAGGTAATGCCATCACATGATAGTCATGTGACTTTTTGCAGCTTTTTATGTTTTGAGAGGTCACCGAGACCTAATGACAGTGCTGATAGGTTTACCATTTCTTTGGGTGATATTAGCAAGATATGCAAAGTGAGTTATGACAGTATACTGCACAGTTTACACAAGTACATGAGTGTTAACCACATTGTGTCCAACCCACGAGAGCTTTTACAAATAACTGTTTATAAACTGAGACTTGGCAATGTAAGCATTAATACCATTTACTCTCGATACTACATATCTAATTTTTGAATGGGGTTGATATACCCCTATTGCATGTATCATACTATTAAAAACATTAAATGAGCATTATCATTTATGAGACCATAGATTATATGATGATTAAACTGTTCAATTTTAGGCTAAACCTTTTGCAGTTCTACCAGGCAGTGGCATGTCAATTGAAGTAACAGTCAAAGGCAGAGAAAAAGTAACCACTTACTGTCTCTTGGACTTTTAACATTACAGCAAGCTTGTTTTCCTCTTTGTCTTCCAGCCATATTTATTTGGTGCTATACTCCATCATGATCAAGCCTACCTCTCCATATGCGATCAAGCTATGATCATCGGTCTCCCTTGGGGCAGCGACCTTGACTCGAGTGAGAGACAAACCTTTTCGACTCTTTCTGCAAGAGACCCCTCACCTTCATGGGAGAGAAGTGGAGGAAACACGTCACTGGAAGAGTGCTGGAGATGATAATGCAATGACTATTGGTGCCCACATGTGATATGCTGCACTAAAGTATTACAAATTGTGTCGTCATATAACAATTAGATGCTCATTATAATATATAGTTGAGTGTTTTATTTTTAGCATTATATTCTTCTTCTAATAAAAAAACATTTACAACAATGACAATGTTACAAATGAAAAGTGATTACATCTTTTTATTCTTCTTCAAGACTCGTTTTCTGAGGGTTTTTTGACTGAGAACACAAGACCCGGTCTCCGCAGGCCGTAAAATTTTAGCGGGACGAGATCTTTCTTGACAGCATCAAAACTCCATCCCTTGTGATCCCTACACCTACTGCAATACAATATAGTCCATTGATAACTGAAGAAAAGAGAAATAAGATAATATATATTTTTTATAATTGTGTATTTCTATTTATACTATTTCACTTACCCTGGAAACCATGAGTTCTCTGTAGTGGGTCGACCAGATTTCTTAAGATTATAAGACTCTGTGACTGTTAGTGTCTCATGTACAAAGCCTCCTTCATTAACGTATGATGCTAAAGGCCCATCAACAGACATACTGAATATGTACTGCTTCTGTGTTATGAGTATGCCACATTCACTGCAGTATAACTCTGTATTCTCCTGTAAAGGAATAAAGGTAGATGTGAAAGACATACTAGATACTTTTTCTAAATACTTTTAGTAATCTCAGTCCAAGCATTAATCGTTTAGTTGGACAATTTATCGAAAGGAATTCTAATTTTGTTTTCTCGTCTACCGGCAGCCGTCTTGACAACCAATAGGACAGGCCTACAAAAATCAAGAATAACCCGTTTTTCATAATGTAATTGTAAGGTACTTGTTATATCGTTCGGTAAAGGGTCGACCCCTTTGTCATTGAGACTTAACGAGTTTACCCTCTGGGCTTCAATGACCTCATCTCTTAAATGATCCTGAAATAATATTAAAAAGTAACAATAATAAATAAATAATAAATAAATAAAATAATAATTCTTACAAATTCAAATAATCTTAAAGTCCATTCAGGGACTCGACATGATGACATACATTTACTTGACAACTAAAAAAAGCAAAACATCACGTCAGATCCTCAAATGACACCCACTCACCGCTAACTCTCTACGACACCTTGCGGCTCTCTCTAATGAAAGAGGTGTGGCTTCAGGTTGCCTAGCAACAGCAAGACAGCAGTTGTAACTAGAGGCAACACAGGGCGGGAGAGAGAGAAGGAGAGGAGGACGAGGAAGGAGAAGAATATCAGGAAGAATCTCAACTCGACAATCCATCATACTATAGGATATGAACAGGATATTATTAGGATATCACATCAGTATACTATTAGTGTATTACATCAGAATATTATTAGTATATTTACCCATTCATTTTCTTATTAACTTCTAATAGTTTAAATCTTTGTCTTCCTCTTAGTTTAACGACAAACCTCGGTCCGTGGAACCACATACTCCCGCCCTCGTCTTCTCTAAAAGCAACAATATCTGCAGTGGTACCAAACTCGGCTAGCTCCTCTCTCCCTGGCCTACGAGCCCCTCCGAATATCCCCTCCCCCTCTCCTCCTCTCATGTCAGTGCAAACTGCTATTGGTTTACGAGAGGCTGAGGCTTCACGAAGCATAGATATCACCTAATTATAAAATAAGTATTAATTTAACCTACAGGAGGTTTCTTTCATGGGTCAAACTTTGGTATTTTATAACTTTAAAAGTTAGCCACATCCTTTTATTTGGTGCGTTTCTGTAATTTAGTATTCAATTTTGTTTTTATAGCTTGGAGAATGAAAATAATAATAATTTTGCCAAACGAAAGAAACCCACTGCTATGAAATAAGTTTAATTGTATGCGTGTGCTAATTACATGTGGATTGTATATGTGAAGTGGGAGTGTCTCCTCCGGAAATAGAACATGCTTTGATATGTAATGGAGAGGTAAAGTGGGCGTGGTCTCTTCTTCCTGTACGCTAGCGACACTCTCCTCCTCCATGTCACCTAGATACTGTAAGGAGTAATCTGATTGGTCGCCTAAACCCTTACGAGATGTTGTGCAGGTAAGGAAATATCATATTCTTTGCCGTCTTGGTCTCCCACTGCTTCATCTTGCCTTTCTTCATCTTCAAATAAAATAAATTATATAAATACAAGTGATAATAATGTCCTTTTCTTTATCATACCTTCACTCCCGTTGCTTTCCTCTTCTTCACTGGATGAATACCCATCGTAAAGCATCAGTCCTTCTTCCTCGCCGTCGTCTCCCTCTCCTCCCCTGTCTCCTCTTCTCCTTCTAAGATTGATCCTTATGAACGCCATTTTAATTTAGCCCCGCCCACAAGATATTTAACCCTTTGTTTACACCCACGTGTTGACATAATGTCTGACCCTGAGGAAGGAAATGAGGGAAATGGTGAATTGCCAGCCTCTTCTCTAGGGACTAAGGAACAGTAAGAGATTATTTAGTAGCTAATATTAACTGTACTATAGTTGGGATAACGAATATGCTAGAGAACTTGAAGTTTTTAAAGAATTCGGTGACATTGGCGAAGTCTGGTTAGTCATTGCCTATATTTTGCTTTTGTAAATTGATAGCCATTGCTTAGGTTTGGGTACGACTGTCAGACAAGAGTTGTTAACTGGATCAAGGAATCATCTTGTATCAGTCTTGAATCAAATATCATTGATTTAGGATGTGGAAACGGATCATTGCTGATTGAACTGGTAGAATAGAAATTATATATTTTGCGGCACTTGTAACTTGATAAGTTAAAGTCGGAATTAGCTCAAACTTTGTATATAGCTTAAGGGCATCACTATGTATCAAAAAATGTAATAAAAATTTGGGGTGATTTTGGAGGCATATTTTGGAAAAAACCATGGGCTATAGCCTTGGGTATTTTTCTGAATTTCAGTGTTTTCTTAAAATTGCCGTAACTTGATAAATTCAAGTCGGAATCAACTCACACTTTCTACAGAGCATAAGGGCATCAATATATATAAGAAAATGTAATAAAAATTTGGGGTGATTTTGGAGCCATTTTTTGGAAAAAAACCATGGGCTATAGCCTTGGGTATTTTTTAGATTTTTGATGTTTTCTCAAAATGGTCGTAACTTGAAAAATTTTAGTCGGAATCGGCTCAAACTTTCTACACAGCATAAGGACATTAATATGTATAAGAAAATGTAATAAAAATTTGGGGTGATTTTGTAGCCATTTTTTGGAAAATACCATGGGCTATAGCCTTGGGTATTTTTCAGAAATTTGGAGTTTTCTTAAAAATGGTCATAACTCGATAAATATTTGTCAGAGTGAGCTCAAACTTTCTACACAGCATAAGGACATCAATATGTATCAAAAATGTAATAAAAATTTGGGGTTTTTGGAGCCATTTTTTCGAAAAAACCATGGGCTATAGCCTTGGGTATTTTTCAGAAATTTGACGTTTTCTTAAAATGGTCATAACTTGAAAAATTGAAGTTGGAATCAGCTCAAACTTTCTACACAGCATAAGGACATCAATATGTATCAGAAAATGTAATAAAAATTTGGGGTGATTTCAGAGCCATAAAACATGCAGTATCGCCCATAGTATTTTTCAGAAATTGGCATATTTTTGAAATAGCCATAGCTCAAAAGCTTTTATTTGAAATCAGCTCAAACTTTTATGCATATGTTGCTTATAATTATAATAATAATAATTATTATTATTACATCTTATTAGGCATGTAGTGGGTATACCCAATTGACTGGTATTGACTATTCAGCTGCTGCTGTGGAATTAGCGAAACAAATTGCTCTCAAGGAAAAAGCAAAAGTTAAATTCTTAGTAAGTATGAAATTAAATAAAATGCAAGTAACACTCTCTTCCTATCCCTCAGTGTGGTGACATACTAACTGATGACACTATTGAAGACATGATTGGTCAGATTGATCTGGTTCTTGATAAAGGTACTTATGATGCTATAAGTCTCTCGCCTAACGAAGCAAAGACTAAGAGAAAAGCTTATAATGAGTCTGTATTGAGTCTACTTAAGAAGGATGGCCTCTTTATTATAGTGTCTTGCAATTGGACACAGGATGAGCTTAAGGACCAGTTCAGTTCAGGTTTGTATACTTTGTAAATTTATTATTATTATTTTATTTTTTGTGATGTAGGTTATGTTGTTTTGGATACAATCCCCTCCCCGTCCTTTTGGTTTGGTGGGAACGTCGGCCAAACAACATCTACTGTAGTCTTTAAGAAGACATAAAAATCAATAAAATAACAATAATAATAATAATAATAATAATAATGATATGTGTGATGAATGCTACAAGAGTTTAATAATTAGTTTTACTGTTAATTTGACTAACAGTTGTGTACCAATAATTTGTTTTTTGTATCATAGTAACTATTATTTTTATTTTTTCCCAGTGATCAATTTTTTCATGCATATAGTGTTACGGCCTATTTCAGTCCTTATGTCTCTATGGAGGGTCTCCAGTTCGGCCGAGACTCTCTTTATATCATCTCTTATCTTCTCTTGCTCTTTTAATATACAAGTCTTGCGATTCTGCAACCCTATAATACGATAATAATAATCCATAACTTCTTTTTTATGTACAAGATTTGTGGCTATTACTTCTGCTCTCCAGTAGCTGATCGTGTGCTTTCATTCTTAAGCTTTTCATTCTTTCTCTCAGTCTTTCTGCTCTTGATAGATCTTCATTAGCACGGGAGAGTCTCTGCGATGTTATATTAACGAGTCTTGAAACATTTGCGTCAATCTGAGTTTGAGTCTGAGAAAGAAGAATTAGCACAAACAGCTAGCGTAATGTTTAATAATCACTTACTTTGTTCAATTGCAGAACCTGTTTTGACGTCTCGTTTGACAGGGTTTGTAGCCGAGTCAAGTTACGACTGTTAATCTCAAAAACGTTTTTAGTATCTTGAAATGACTGATTGAGTGCTCTTATTCTCTCGTGCAATGAATTGATGTTTCTTTCAATTATAATGAGCAGAGAAGTTGTCTATAAAAAACAAAAACAAGTATTAAAATTTAAATTATTACACAGTGTTCTCCTCTCTCTCTACCTCATTCATTGTGGCTCTTAAAGTGATCATGTTCTTCTTTGTTTGATTGAGTCTACTCTTAACATGATCTCTCATTGCCACCAACTCATCCAATGACTTTGAGAGCAACGAGACACTATCCAATACAAAATGGAGAGTTAAACTACGAGAAAGAAAAGTCTATTAAGTACAAGTTTTAAGTATATTTTTTACTTTGCTAGTAGTGTGTTGTTTAAAGCTACTTCTGCTCTTGTTTGCAGGTCATCTTCACCTCCTGTATCTGGATACTTGTTAATAGTCTCATTGATACTTCGAAGTAACTCCAATACCTATTATAATAAACCAACACTCGATCAATTAACACTTTTATATAATTTTTTTACTTCTTCAGGTGTCTTGCTCATTCGAAGTGAAAGTGTCTCATTCATTAGGGTCTCAATGGCACTGATATTTGGCAGACTAGCATTAATTGCAGTCCTAATATCTACAGTGAATGATTGAATGGAGACTAACAAGTGGCTAATGTTTCTCAACTCTTTCTGTGCTAGCTCTAAAGTCCTTGTTGATAGCACTAATCCTTGCGAGCTGCTTGCATTAGCTTCTAGTAACAACTGAAGATCTTGTTCTATGAGACTCTTTAATCTTCTTGCTCTCTCCAATGCTTCAGTGCTTACATTAATAGCTAACTGAACATTGTTAACTGTACTATTGCAATCTCCTACTCCGCATACAGTACACCCTATTCCACCACACTCTGCCTCACAGGAATTGCTATCGTAGCAGCCACATTCCACGCTGTCTTTAAGTGGAAGAACTGCCACTCGACCACAGAGACTCTTATCAGCTCTGTATATGAAATCTTGGTACTGAGAGAGCCGTATCTTTAGGATATCAAGTAGACCAATGACTTCTTCACTTATATTAAGGAATAGCATTTCTTTTGTTATAAACTCATTTATTTGTTCTCTTGCTTCGTTTAGCAATGCTGCTACAGTTGTATTGACAGTGCTACTGGATTGATTTGATGATGACAGTGCTTGATTAATCCTGTTCACATACTGATCAAAGGAGCGTAACTCAATACCATCTTTCTCTCTTGTCAGGTTGTTTAATAACTCGCAGAGTTCAACTAGCTCTTTATGAATATTCATCACTTGCTCTCTCTGCACTGTAAAACTTGAATTATCAACTTGTAACATTTCATTGGCCATCTCAGCTCTTTCAAATAGACTTCTAAGTCTCGAGATGATGTTGATTACGTTGACGTGTGTTTCATTCGTTTGGATCAAGAGAGATTTAAAATCAGTCGAGTTAAGCAGATTCTCTATTTCACTTAGTAACACTAATAATGGCTGGACCAATTCTCTCCCTTCGTTTACCTCAGTATGAGTGACATTAGTAACAGTGAGAGATTCTGCTCTCTCTATTGCTGCCGCTGTAGAATTCTCTAGATCATTAATTGGGCTTATCCATCTGTTAGAACATTCATCACATAATTCACAGAATGGAAGTATCCCAGTGTTACCAGAGGAACGGCATTCGCTACACTTTGACCCAGTAACTCCTGGCAGACATAAGCATTGACCAGTTGTCTTATTACATATAGGAGGTACAGTGGAAGCAGTGTTACAACCACAATCTATTGAAGGAATAGTACTGATAAAGTTATGGTAGCTGGAGTGGTTTTATCTTACCAATGCACATTCCATTGTTATTCCAATAGCCATCACTGCATTCAGAGCAAGAGCGACCCATGTAGCCCTCTTTGCATTGACACTGTCCACTAACCTACATAAGAAGAAAGACATAAGATATAATTGTGAAAATATTTCAGCTAAAATGCATTATTTACTCAATGCTATTGCTTTTACTATCTCACCTTATGACAGTCTCCAGTTGAGTTAGACAGGGTTCCAGTTATAGAGCAGTTACATTCACTACAGCTAGCACTAATATTCCAATACCCACTGGCACACTCATTGCACTCTCTGCCTAAAATGTTAGGAGATCTACATGTGCACTGACCACTAATAATGCCACACAATCTTGAAATACTGCCTTCTGGATGACAGTCGCACTCTAAGAAGAAGTGTTTTTACATTGTTGAATTAAAATGGTAAGTAATTTACCTTTACAGTCGTGAGCTGGTGCATTACCAAAATAACCAAACTGACAAAATTCACATTCTATTCCAGTGTATCCATCGTCACAGCTACACCGGGCAGTAATAGGGTCGCAGGTATTGATGCCTCCGGCCGAATTATTAGTACACTGGCAAAGGCGACAAGTGCCATTTTGATAGAGTGGATTACCAGTGTAGCCATCTTGACATTCCTGGCATCTCTCGCCCTTGAATCCTTCCTTGCAGTTCAGACATTCAAAACCGACTCCACTGACTGCTCTCCTACAACTACGAGCAAACCACTGTGTGGAGTATATCCCACCTGGACATGCACAAGGTTTACAGGTACCAGAATTGAGATCCCAATAGAAGCCCTCAACACATTCAGTGCAGTGAGTTCCGCTGGTGTTGTTTCTACAGTTTATACACGTGTTGTCCACAGGATCACAAGTATCAGCTAGTCCATGACAATAGCAGCGTACGCACTTAGCAAACTCTCCTCCTCTTGCAGGATCGAGTGAGTATCCGTTAGAGCAACGATCACAGACTGAGCCAGTTCTTGAGCGAGGGCAGGAGCAGTCCTCAGCTACCGTTGCTGGTAATAATGGAGAGAGGAGATGAGAAGAAGAGAGATCATTAGTAGCATAAGGCAAGGCTACTTGAGATAAGGTTAAGTGACGTTCACCAACTGGTACATCCTACACAATTAAAAGGAGTGTTTAGTTTAATGCATCATAATTTCTTTACCTCTCCAAATTCTACTTCAAGTCTCATCCATATTATATTAGCAAGTGTTTTATGGACAGCAGTTTCAGTTGCTGGCATAAAATAGAAATAACGTTGCATGAATCCACTGGCTATTAATGGTATCTATATACAAGAAAAAGGATGAAAATTAAAACTAATAAGGAGTTATAACTTCACCTTGTGGTTAGTTGAACTGGCATCAAGTGATCTCTTAAGTGTTGATGGTAAATGATTGATCATTGTGAATATCTCGAGGCTAAACTTATTCCCTGAAGAAGTGGGGAGGGAGGCATTGAGTGAGAGATATTGACCGTATGATGTTCTCTTGTCCGACAGAAAAGACGAAGGAAAATCAACTCTTAACCGATGTCCACTCGTTCTTGCTATGAAGCTTCCATTACTATAGAAATAAGCATACATACTTAAATAATCTCTTTTTTAACTTACACTATTGCTGCATGAGTATTCCTTGCTAGCCAGTCACTTGAAATAGACTCATTCTCAAACCGACTTGAAACCTCAGACCAGTACCAACCCCTACTGGATCTACAGACACTAGAGTACCCATTACAAAAACACGGTATGCATGTTAAAGCTCCGCCTTTAACAGGCCCGAGGGTACGAGGGGGACAACGGTCACAGCGATCTCCCTCAACGCCAGATAAACAAGTACATTTTCCTGTTTCGGGATCACATGTTGATGGATTAATGCTACCGTATGAATTACATGAACATGACTGACATCCATTAGAGGAGAGAGAGTGATAACCAGATAGACAGGTGTCACAATTTCTTCCCCCTACCCCTGGCTTACAAACACACTGACCATCCTCTGTACACACTTGATATGAACCAGTGATACTGCAAGAACAGGAGATACAGTGGGTCCCATTGGAGTATTGATCAAAAGGACAGCAGCTGGTGTCGTTTGTGGAGCAGGGACAGCGACCAGTGTGGCTCTCACAGTTAGATGAAGAAGGACAAGAACAAGCTAAAGATTTATAAAAATAACACTGGTAATTCTTAGAATTCAATCCCATGCAGACCCAATTATGAAAACATTGTGGTTTATAACATAAATACCTTGACAGCCAGAAGGATTAGAAGACGATAGATTAAAAAATCCATTTTTACAAGTTTGACACCTGCTCCCCTCAACATTATCACGACAGACGCACTCGCCTGTCTCCCTTGAACAAACACTGTTTGGGACTGTACCTTCTTCACTGCAATCACAAGCTTAAAGAAACAAAGAAATACATACATACATATACATGTACATCACTCAGTCAATTCACAATTACTTTGAAGTTAATCTAATTTGTTTGCTTACTCATTCCTTCTGTTACTTACCAGTGCATGATCCACCATTATTATAGTATCCAATGCCACAATCCTCACAGTTTGTACCTGATGCATTATCAGTACAATTAACACAAACTCCCCCGCTTCTATCAGCATCATAGAGACACGCATCACTTTTATTGCTGCAATTGCATTCTATTAGGAATGAAGTATATAATGTCATGAGGATTGGGTCAGTACTTACTATCAGGGCAGCCTCTGTAGATCTCACTGAAGCCACTCCTCCATGGTGAATCGTTGTATAATGATAAGCACTCTTGGCAATTGTTACCAGTTGTATTGTTACCACAGGAACACTGGGAGGGAACCTAAAAAGAAGATTATAAATAATCAAGAATACTCATATTATGAGTTGTTGATGGATGCAATAGCATTCCCTATTGCTTTGTGTGGCATTTGACACACATGAGTCAAAGGCGTGTGTCTGTGTGTATAGTAAGCAATGTCTGCTTCATAGTCTATTAGTTACACGATATACTCAATCTCAATCATAATGTTTACCCAACAATCGCATTATAGTAATTCTATAAACATAGAGATGTGTTGACTAGGAAAGTATGTGTATCAGTGTATCAGAAATCTCTTGCTATGTATGTACAAATATATTGACTCACCATTCCAGGTATTGTAAGCTCTTTATTACTGAAACTGCAGTTATTCTCAAGCCCATTACAGAAACACCATCCTAAGACCTCAATATTATAAATGGCATAAAACTGTCTGACAGCTATTTGAGGATTTTGAACGTCATCGTCAATTCCTGTGAATGGGTGAAACTTTAATAATTCTAATCTAAGATTAGTTATTAGTAAACTCTTTAGAGAGTCTGGATCAGATAAATTACTGTTAGTACTATCTGTCTGATACAAAACCTAAGAAAGAGAGAGAGAGAGAAAGAGATAATTAATTTTACTCAGATCATTTCAATTTAGGTCAACATCTGTTAAATGTATTATATGGTCAGTCATGCAGTTAATTTTTATCAACAGCTTTTCCTCATTCCTAGTAATTATGAATGGTTAGTTGCATGGTTATTATTACTATGATTATTTTACTGTTACAGGATGACATACTTCACCAGGGAATGGATTAGAATATTCAGAAGTACAAGGTGCATCGCTGGGTGTCCCAAACTCTCTTCCACAATCAGCTGCATAGTAATGAAGTTTTTGAAACGAGTTACCATCATCTGCTGATTTGTACAATATCATGGCAGCAGGCCGACGGGATTTAAACGAAATAATAACATGACTAAAAAAGAACGTTCCTCCGAAATCAAGTTGTATCTGCACGTTTGAAGTATTAGTTTGGGACTGCCACCAAGTCCTGTTTGATGGGTAGTGGACAGAGTCACCAGCATCAGTCATTAGTGAAGGAGGGTGAGAGAAATGGTCATTGTCACATGTGCTGCACTCCTCTCTCTCTTTAGCTGTGTCCTGTGTGCAGTATTGCTCGGGGCCAGTCGCTCCACATGTAGACGTGGAAGTTATGTCTCTACCTATTGCTACATTGCCAACGTTTGGAATGTATCCCAGACCTGTTATTTAGAAATTATTATGACAATCAATGAATGAATAACTTAAAGTATCGACACCTTTAAAATGAGCTGTACAAACTGCAGCAGCTACTATGAGCAGAATTGCTGTCTGCTGCAACATCCCTCGGATCTGTTTTGTTGTCTTCTACTCTGATCTCAGCTTTTGGCTTGTACTTGACCTATGCACATCAGGCCGGCTCACATTCACCGCGCAAGCGCGCGCATTGCGCAGATTTACTAAAAGTATCCTGAAACCACACTGTCTAGTATACGGATTTCACGTGTCAAAAAGATGGGAGTATGTTGGTAAGTGAAAATGTTTCTTTTTCCATTTTGAGAGAGTGTCCATTCATAATAGCATAGTCCAGTGGGCCTATCCAGAGAGTTTGAATACTAGCCAAGCGTTGGAGACCCTCCAGAGAAGGATAGAGTTACTGGGAGCTACTAGTCTTGGGAATTGGTCTGTGGATTGTGAAGTACTACAATCAGCCACGCCTATATGTAAGTACAAATGTACCATGAAATCAACAAATCCAAGGCTTACGTAAAGTTATATTTACTCAAGCGCTCATATTACAGCAGACTGTAAACTATTTATGAGATGAATCATCAAGAATGCCATCTTAGTATTGGGCCAAAGGGTAATTTACCGAAATTGAAAAGGAGAGAATTCTTCCTTTTTGATATTTTTTCTTGATACATATACATGTACTTATGTTGTGAAAAAAGTTTGAGCTGATTCTAATCAAAATTGGATTTTTTGTGAAGTGTTAAACTTACTCCGAAATCGGGCAAAAATCCTAAGACCCTATAGTACAGGGTCTTAGGCCGAATTTCACCGAAATTGAAAAGGAGAGAATTCTTCATTTTTATACCTTTTCCTGATGCATATACACATACTTATGCTGTGTAGAAAGTTTGAGTTGATCACGATCAAAATTGATTTATATGGGAATTTTTAAAGTTACTCCAAAATTGGGCAAAAGTCCCTGTACTATAGTACAGGGTCTTGGGCCGAATTTTACCAAAATTGAAAAGGAGAGAATTCTTTATTTTTATATTTTTTCCTGGTGCATATACATGCACTTATGCTGTGTAGAAAGTTTGAGCTGATTCCGATCAAAATTGGATTTTTTATGAATTCATGAAGTTGCTGTCAAAGCCCCTGTACTATATAGTACAGAGTATTTTGTCGAAAATGGCTAGGAGAGAATTTTCCATTCTTTTCATTTCTGATGTATATATATAACAGAGCAAAAAGCAATTATCCTAATGATATTTTCTTTCTTTATTTTATGATGCAGCTGGCTCACAGAATAAATTCATCTACTTTATACACAGTACGGAATATCCCAGGACCACATTCACAGTTGTCGATCCGCCATACCTCTGTCTAGTGGCCGATAACACATTAGATACCATTTTCACTCATTTAAAACAAAGCTATGTACCACGGAAGCAGCTGAAAGTGGAGGCCAAGGGACTGAGGTATGAGGTGAGAGGTAAGTATATCGTCAAGTTTGGATCGGTCACTTTCAGTAACACAAGCAAATCAATCATTGTTGAAGTAAGCAATAATAATGAAAAAAGAAAATAGTATTATAGTTCTAATCATATTTCAAACTTTCTACTTAGCATAAGGGCATCAATGTGCATTAGAAAATGCTGTACTAATTTCAGAGCCATTCCTTGGAAAAAAGCACGGGCCATATATAGCCTATAGTATTTGTTAGAAATCAGTCATTATCTTTTTCTCCTTATAGACAGAAGATATAGAGGAAAACACAGTGAGCACTGCTTGGGATCAACTGGTAGAACTAACCAAATCACTGCTACACACGTCAGTTAACATATCCACACCAGAACACGTACAGAAAGCGCTAGATGGTCGATATGCACCTGCAGACAGCATGGTGCAATACGCTCAGATATTCCAACAGATAAGGAAGGCAGGGAGTACCAAATAAAGACATAACAAACAACTTCAATAAATAATTAATAACAATGTAATATGTTTTTGGATTACAAATCAGTTTAATAATAGTGAAGGTATGTGTTCTGGTCGGTTACAAGGTTTACTGTTGAGTATAGCTTTACTTTTATGATCAAAAGGTAAAGAAGCTAGAGGAATAAAAGAGGTTTTATTTCTCTGTTCTTGTATACATAAAATTTCTAAGAGTGATGGAGCATCACTTATTAGCAGTGAAAGTGTGTCCAGAATGAAGTGCTTCCTCATATGCTACTATGTACGGAGAAACAACATCCCATACCTAAAACATGGGCACATAATAATTATCCTTCCTCTCTCTCTCTCTCTCTCTTACTTTTCCTTCTTGTATAAGATTAGTTACAGCTGCTATATCAGGCGCCATGAATCGATCAGTGTCCATAGTCTTGACAACAGAGCGTACCAACTTGTACACTTCCTCAAGTGGGTCTGTGGTCTTCTTTGGACGATGGAAGTCGAGGGCTTGACACGCAGCCATCAACTCAATAGCAACAACTAGAAAGAGAGAGAGAGAGGGGAGATCGCAAGTGTAAAGCAGTTTGTAACACATACAGAGCATGTGTATATATACTTACCTTGTTCAACATGACTCACAACACTAAGTGCCTTCCTAGCAGCAAACCCACCCATAGACACATGGTCCTCAGTCCCTCCTGATGTAGTGATGGAATCGACTGATGAAGGATGTGTTAAAACCTTGTTCTCCGATACTATAAGGCACAGTTAATAATAAATTATGACTACATATAAGATTAGTTTTCTAATGGTATGCAAGGTTGGGGAAGCCCATAATGATAATAATTATTATAAAGTTGCTCTATAAAAGCAATTTTTCGAAGAGATTTGACATACATTTAACACCCAACAAAGAGATTTTGGTGTTAAACTTACCCAAAGCAGCAGCTGTTACATGAGCCAGCATAAAACCTACAAGTGTACATAAAATTAGTATCGGGCTTTGAATGTGACTGTGTATAATATAATACCTGAGTTAAGTCCACCATCTTTAGCTAGGAAACCAGGTAGATCGCTGTACCCTAATAATTAGACATAATGAACACACACACATATCACAGTCAGGCTCTCTCTATTCCTCTCTCTCTGCTCTACTACTCTCTCTCCCTCCGTCCCTCCCTCTCTCTCTCTCTCTCTCTCTCCCTCTCTCTCTCTGCCTACCTACCTGGATGTACCATTCTTTCTAGCCTTCTCTCACTCATATTGGCAATCTCATGTACCCCAATTGCAAGGTAATCCAGCACCTATAGGTAATTGATGATTAGGTTGGCTCACAGCATAGGATTAGTACTGCTTACTTTGGCTGGATATTCTCCATGGAAGTTGCCTCCAGATATGGTTTCTGCTCTATTAGCCAGGATTATCTACACAAGAAGAAGTGTCAGTAAATAAACATGGCACCTTCTCCTCTCTCTTTCTCTGTACACATCCCATCCTATGATACATATCTAATGCAACCAGACCTAATGCTATAGCCAAAATCAAATATACGGCTACTACATGTATATTTACTATTGACAGCACTAGAACACTACTATACTTGCAAATCCTATTACCAATTACAAGAATGGTATAATAATAACAACTATTATTATTATCATTATTTTATTTTATTTTATTTGTAAGCTTTAAAAACTACTTTCCACTATCTTTCCCTTATTCTCTCCTAACCTATTCTACTATTCTGTCCTATTTTTATCTTTATCACAGTCGTTGTTGTTGTTGATTATTATCATTATTATTATTATTACTATTATTATTATTATTATTATTATTATTATTACAGGGTTATCTGTAGCACTGTTGATTTCAGTTGACAGTATCCTTGACACAAAGTCAAGAGTATCGTGTACTATCCCATGGACCTGTGGTACACATCGCATGGTGTATGGGTCTTGAATACGATTGCAATCTCTATGACTCTCTAAATAATAAAAAAGAAGACATTATGATAAAGGTAACTTATTAAAGAAAGAAGTACAATATAGAAGAGAAATAAAAGACCATACTATTATACCGTACGGTTATAAATTTCATGGGGTATTAATTTTCGTTAATTTCGTGGTTAATTTTTATCCACGAAATTTTAACCCCTACCCACCCACACATAAAAACTAATTAACGGGCCATGCAGAGTTCTAACTACCATTTCCAAGCCAGTGGAGGAGCCAAAGTCTTTGTCTATTACTCCATATTCCACTATAACCCATATGTGTTGGAAGCTAGTCCAGTAGATCCAAGTGAAAAGAAGTTTGCTAACTGCCATCCACGAATATTTGTACCCACGAATATTCACGAATATTGGCTTCTAAGGACATTTTGGAGAAAACACGAAATTTTGGACCCTCGAATATTACCAACCATACGGTATAATATAGGCAGAAAATTATTCCTGTGGTTGCAATAATTTATATAAGAAGAACTGTCAAAACCACAAAAATTTAATCTGCAAATCAAAGTTTTCATGCTACACATTGTATCTTGATTACCTCTTATTTCTGATGGATGCACATTAGAATCAAGCAACGACCTCAGCCTACTGGCCACTAGCAGCTGGCCTTGATGAGGGCGAAGCAAATGAATATCTAAAATAACGAAAAAACAAGACAAAGATCAGTGAGCATGTCAGCAACATCCACTGTATAATCTACTCTGTCTCTAATACCTTGATCAAAAGCTCGAGGTGTTCCTTTCAAGACATCAATGGAGAGAGCAGCAATCACATCAGCTTGATCAGCAACTCTCTTAGACCGAAAATAAGCCTCAGAGCCTAAAGCTGATATAAACTGAGTCCCATTAATAAGAGCAATCCCCTGTAGTAATAGTAGTAATAATAATAATGAAATATTACTACATAGCAGGTAGTGGGCATTACCTCTTTGGCTTCTAAGTGGATTGGTTCCAGCCCATGAGCGTTTAGAACCTATCAACAAGTCATAGAGAAGAGAGAGAGAGAGAGAGAGGGGTGTGTTAATAAATTATAATTGGCGGGTGTTTGGTTTTACATTCCAGCTGTTGGTGTGCATTAATTGGCTATTTCATTTGACTGCCAATGACTGGTTAACTGTGAAAGGTAAAGAGAGTGAGAGAGAGTACTTACCTCTTTAGCATCGCCCCAGTCCGTCTTTGGCCCCCACATCTCTCCCTCGCCCATTAGACCAAGTGCAAGGTGGGACAATGGAGCAAGGTCACCGCTAGCACCGACTGTTCCCTTCTCTGGAACAGAGGACAAACAAGAAGCTACAAAAAAGCAAAAATAACAGCACAGCTGCTTCAACCACTTAAACAAGCAATATAGATAGAGCATAATGTTATGGTAAAAGGAAGAGAAGCTTACCATTCAAGGCATTCACCAGCTGCTGTAGCGTCTCCAATCTTATACCACTGAAAAGGTGTAAAGTAAAATACAATTTCCTCTCTCTCCCCCTCTGTCCCTACCTGCAGCCTTTAGCTAATACGTTAATCCTTAGTGCCAGTAGGAGTCTGGTCCTCATTAATGAGAGGGGCTCACCCAAACAAGTCGCATGCGAACGAATCAAATTCTCTTGCAACTTACTAAAACAAAAACACGAGAATTTATTCAATAAAGAGATCAAAAGTATTGTGGATGCATGTGTGCAAACATCATCACCATATACAACATTTTTATAGTAAGTGTATATCACAAGTTACCTAACATTCTCTCTTGAAATAGGGACAGAGGCAAACCTGCCAAACCCTGTGTTAATACCATAAACACCTGCAAATGAGATTTGAAATCAACAACAAGGAGGAGATGTCATACAATACCTTTATCTCCTTCAACTATCCTGTCCACAACTTCCCTGGCTTTCTTTACTCTATAGATAGCTTCCTCCGATAGTTGTACACGGTATTTACCTAATCCGATTTGGATCAGATCTTCGATAGAGAGTGAGTATCCATCCAGAGATAACACCTACAATGAACAGAGGGAGAGAGAGAGAGAGTGCAAGAAGACTATAAAGAATGGCTGATCAAGTGTATAATATACTTTGTCAAAATGTTGCTGAAGCTTCAGTTGCTGTTCTTGTTGCATGCTAAAGGAGAGAAAGAGGTGAATGAATAATTGTGGGTACATACAGAGTACAAGGTCATGGAGGTTGATTAATAATGCAGTAAATTCATATTTACTGAAAGCTGCTGATGCAACACTATGAATGTGTATAATAGTGCCTTGTTGACAGTAACAGTAATGTCAACAAATGATAATGTACAAACAACATTCATTCTGTCTATCTTTACCTGTTGTATATTGATTTCTTGTATGGGTCAGGCCTAGGGTTAGTTTTCTTTGGACCTAGAGTTACAAAATAGATCCATTTCCCACCCCTCTTGCTTTCACTTTCTTACATAAAGTAAGCCTATCCAGATTTTGAATGACATCTTTCGCTTTGCTATCAGGACGTAAGGTCTCTTCGCCTCCCTCCTCGCTGTAGTGTCTCAATTCGTAAGTAGAAGGAGACGGGTTGCAACTGCCTCTATCTCCTTCCATTATCTCTAGCTCTTTGAGTAGCTCCGGGACAAGATCAGCTACCGTCCGGTCATCAAACGGAACGGGAAGGCTTAGCGTTGGTCTCTTCTCACCACCTTCTCCTCTTCTCTCGCTCTGTACAGTAACGAAATAAATGCTATCATCCCCTACATGGGAAGAAGACCCAGATGAAGACATTATCAGGAAAATGAATCCAGTTTGGCTGTGACCGTTGTACCGTATTTGTGTGGTCTTAATCACTTCTCTATACTGTATGTTGGAGGTGTGTATGTGGTGTGTTTGATGGGTGGGCTGGGCTGGGTGGGTCAAGAAGAATTCATATCATCTCTGATACGAAATCAATGATTCAAGCCTGATGTCTATTTTGATACAGCCCTGACTGGCATCAATGTTGAATCATGGATGATCATCATGATTGTATCATACTAGACTGATTGCTTTGCAGGCTCCCCATAATCCATGATACAGGAATGTATCAGGCTGATCCTGATTGATATCCAGGTATGATGCAGGACTAGCCTGTATGCATAATGCATGCACAAACATGTAGATCTATGCATCAGAAAGAAATCGTGCATAATGGAGAATTCTCTCTTTATAGTCATCTTCATGAAATTTGATTACACAGCCTTTGACTCAGTCTCTGTACTATAGTACAAGAACTTTACAGATTCATCATAATTAGCTCAAATTTTCTGCACAATATATGAACATGCCATATAATTGTATCAGGAAAAAAATTAAAATGTAAATTTTCTTCTTTTTAAATTTAGCAAAATTTGACCCAAGACCATGTACTATCATAGGACAGGGACTTTGACCAGATTTTTGAAGAACTTCATAAAAAACTAGTTTTATTGGAATCAGCTCGAATTTTCTACAGAACATACGAACATGTATCAGATAATTCTGTAGCCCACTATGTGTGAAATATTGCTCATGTTAGCTCCTTGAGGTGCAACTGTACAGTGATGTTAAGATCAATCATGAAGTGTGAAACATACTTCACAGTAGCCCTGTGCTCTGCATGATCATGCAAGACTTAATCACATGTTCATCACATGCTCTTCAGTTGTTTGAGAAAAAAGGTTTATCTGTCATCTGAAATTTGTTTCAATAGCTGATTCTTGAGTTGTTGTGCTTCAATAAGTCCCTCTGTTCTTCATCGATGGAGCCTAAATCCTGTTTGATATTTGTGATTGTATTATGTGCAGTAACTGCTGTCTCTTGCAGTAAAAATAAAAGTAAGATATTGCAAAGTTTTGTAGTACATTTTGATTCATTGTACATGATCTTGTTTGTGTAGGAGAGGAATGGCAGTTGCTTATTCCTGACGGTAAAATAACCTCCTCACCTTCAGACAGTGCTGTTAAAATAGGAGAAAAGCTGACAGTCTTTTGTACCTATCCTTCTTACATCCTACCACACATGCAGAAAAAACCTCGCATCTGTCATGATGAGTTTAAGAATGGTAGAAAGGTTGGAACTGTCTGCCACAGGATTAAGAGCACAACTGAATCAAATTCTGGTGAACTAGTCAACTTTCTTTACCATTACACTCCATCCCACCGTGGTGAACATGCCTCAGTTCACCTGCTCCAATCTT